CCCGACTTTAGTGTATTGTAAAATTTTCAGATTATTTTCAATCAATTGGTGCAGTTCCTGGAGATTCACCATGTATAAGTATTCCTGCATACTGTGTCATAATAAAATACAAGCAACAGCGACATTTTCTGTGAAAGAAAAATCTATTCAAATTGAACCATCGACTTTCACATCTGTAAATTAATATTTGCCGAGGTAATGTACTAACTACTCTCCATTCCGCCGAGCAATAATATTAACAGGAAGGATGCGTTAAATTCAATTATTTTAAAAAGACGGAATTGAATATATGCTACATGCTCATTTCAATGAAATAATAGAACACGTTGAGACCGAATAATAAGCCATGTTGTTGAATTGAGTTCAAGACCGTTCTAGTTGGTTCCGCATTTATCCAAAACTGATTGACGATAATTTACTCCCACTAGATAGTCTCTTTTTTGGTAATGATCAACTCGTGTGTCACTATACAATGATTGACTTCAATCTAATTGTAACACAAAAGAAGAGTACTAAGTAGGAGCAATGACCTCAACTATGACTACCTAATCTGAAATATTATCAAAAAATATTGTTAATTGGACATTTCATTTTGAAAACATTTCGTTCCTTTTTGTCGCGCATGTTAGTATTTGAAATGGAATTTCGAACCTTCATTGATTAATAATGTAAAAATGATATAAAAATAAAAATAATATGGTCTCGGGCACAAGCGAATTTCTACTCACGTATGGGTAAAACTTTGAAACAGAATTAATTTATGAAAATGCTCAAATAGGTCTATTTTTAAATTTATTTAACATATTTTCGAGCAGGTGAAATTTTTTTAAGAGCACACCCCCTACATATTAATAATCATCCGTGATTTGAAATTAACCGAAAATAAATTAATAAATTCATTGAAACCTGAGAGTAATGAATTTATTTTTGGATGCCAGTTTAGCCTAGCATTCTCTACTCGACAAAGCCCACGGCGAAGTAATTTCAAGTATACTTTTTCTAATTTATCATTCCTCAAGTAACATTTTGATTAAAACATATATGAGTATATTCAAAATATATTCAAAGTAACCACATTCAATCTTTTTATATTATATGACTGATTTCTATATGATATTCGAAATATTTATAAATGATATGCATCCATTCAAAATAAATANTCAGGCGCCCGTCGCATTTTTTACAATAATACTAGTATTTTTCGTTAGTTATTGTTTTAAGCTTTTTAAAAAATGTATATTTTTAACTTTTCAGTTCGATGTTCTTTAAAAGCGTGTTTTTTAGTTTTTTAAACTATATTCATTTGTAAACAAACACTCAAATCAAAAGTCACTATAATTATTTTTCATAATGTATATATCGTAACTACATCATCTTCAGCAGTGAACTGAATTTGCTTTTTGTTTCAGATTTAGATTACGAATCGCAATTTGTCTTCCCGAATGGTTTTGTTGATCAAAACGGAATCTATTACGTAAATAGTAAGTACCCATTATTTTCTTGAAGTTCTCTATCAAAATATATGTTGTCATACTCGTAAATCGCTTCTAATATACGTGGACTATTAAAATAATAAGGTGAATGTTCAAATTTCGCGGGCTAAGTACATTCGATTAGCGTTTTTCTATGTTGGTAGACTCGTCTCAAACATATATTCAAAGTTTCAGCTGTTTAGCATGTTTAATTTGTTAGAAGTTGGAGGTGTTTTGCGTGTTCGGCGATTTTCTGCTATCGAAAAAAAATGGATCAAAGGCTTTGCATCGAATTCTGTGTAAAAAAATGGAATTAAGTACTCAAGAACGCTTGAAATATTGACAGTGGCATAAGGTGATTGTACTCTGAGTCAATGGTACAAGCTTTTCACATAAGGTCAAGAAGATGAGAATGACGACGAATGTTGGAAAAAGTAAAGAGAATTGTTATGGATAATCCTCGAATCTCTATTAGATGGCTCATGTCATGCAATTTTTTCGAAAATGTTGGTCATGAAGCATATGGCAGGCAGCGAAGTTCGTTCCAAAATTGCTGGATTGTGATCAAACAAACCGTCGCATGAGCATCGCTCAGGAATTGTTGAATGACGTCCTAACCGGTGAAGAATCATGAGTGTATGGTTACGACATCGAAAACAAAGTCCAATTGTCCCAATGGAAGAGCCCAAGAGAGCCAAGACCAAAAAAAAGCATGCCAAGTTCAATTAAATGCATTTGATTGAACTTGGCATGCTTTTTTAACATTATGAAGTTTTGCTCACTCTTTCCTTCGATTGCATTGGCGTAGTGCATCAGGAGTTTTTGCCACATGGTCGTACGGCTATAAGGAGTATAATTTTGAAGTTATATACCGCTTTCGAGAAGCAATATGAAGAAAATGTCCGCTATTGGAGAAAAACAAATCATAGTTTTTGCATCGGATAATGCATCTCCTCACTCATCATTGCTTGTTCGTAATTTTTTTACCAAAAACAACACCGCAATCATGTCTCAGCCACCGTATTCACCAGATTTGGCCCACTGCGACTTTTTCCTGTACCCAGATTGAAGAGATCTATGAAAAGACCGCGTTTTGCGACGATTCAGAAGATAAAAAACGAATCGCTGAGAGAGTTCAAGGACATACCAAAAAGTGCATATCAGAACTGCTTGGAGGATTCAAAAAAACGCTGGCACAAATGTATTACATCTGAGGAAAACTACTTTGGATCAGGACAAAATATATATTGATGAATAAATGAATATATTGTTCAATTTTTGCGGACTTATCTGTAAATTTCCATTGTTGAAATTCAGAATGCTCTGTTTTCAATAAAAAAAGAAAGTAATACAAATTATGAAATTATGAAACAACAAAAATTAATTGGCGCTCCGGGATGACTTGATTGATTTCAGTGGCGCATTTGCTTTTTCAGATGCAAGAAAACCTGGAAAAACCCCAGCCCCATATCATCTGATGATATTGATCTGCCAACGCCCTCTCTTTATTTACAAAATACACATATCTCAAAAATTGTCGTCAAATTTCCTCCGGAATGAATATTCATCATACAAGTGCTTGGAGACATCTCAAAAAAAGCGGTTTAAAATGTTACAAAATACACATATCTCAAAAATTGCATCCAGGTGATCCCGAAAGGCGATTAGAATTTTGTAATTGGCTACTAAGAATACTTGAGTTTCCTGTTTTGCTGGAAAATGTAATTTGGACAGATGAAAGCACTTCTACGAAATGTGGGATATTCAACCGAAATAACGAACACATTTGGAGCATAAACAACCCCAGGCAGTTCCGAGAAATTCGACCTCAACTGCGATTTAATATTAACGCATGGGCAGGAATTTACAAAGATAGAATTTTGGATCCTAATTTATTTGACGGCATTCTGAATGGAGAAACCTATCACCAGTTTATAATGTCGATTTTCGAAGACTATTTGGATGGCTAACTATAACATCTGGTTTCAACATGATGGTACTTTACCGCACACAACCAGACGAGTATCTAATTACCTAACTGAAAGGTTTGGTGATAAATGGATAGGAAATAATGGGCCGGTGACGTAGCCAGCAAGGTCTCCAGACTTAAGTGTTATGGACACATTCTCATGGGGTATACTGAAAAATAGAGTTTAAGGTCAGAGAGATTATCAAAATGTTGAGGACCATCAACACAGCATTGTTAGAGAGTTTGGTAGATTGAGGAAGAGAGAAATTAATCGTGCAGTGAATAATATTCGAAGAAGGGTATGGTTGTGTTATCATGAACAAGGCCAGCATTTCGAGCATTCGCTGTGATTCACTTTTGTCTTTAAATTTTAGTTAATTATTGTTCAAAGTTCTATTTTCATTGAAAAGGACACAATGTCTAATTTAACTCATACACACCTCATTTATCAAATTTTGATGTTTTCATTGGCTTTTCAAATGAACGAAACTCGGTGAGATTTTTATCCAATAACTTGAACATAGTTCGATGTGATTAAGTTCATTTACGATGTCCCAACACTGTTTCTATCGTATTTGTAATAAATTTGTATCATATCTCTTTTTTCTTCGTTTGTGAAAGCCAAAAATTCAATGACTTGTACAATGACAAAATGTCATTGAGTGTAACAAATTGAAAGTCAAATGTAAAAACATCAAAGCCAAAGCCTATTATGATAAAAATAATTTTTTTTCACTATCATTGAAAACGTAAAATCTGGTTCTATTCAAAACAGAAAGTATCCAATGTAGCGCCCATAAGAAAAAAATAAAGATGATGGTGGTGGCCGGAAGACGAAAGGTTGGATAGCAAATTTGAAAACACCATCATGTAGCAGGGAAAAAGTGGCAATGTGAAAGTGCAATTTATTTTCAAAACCTTTGAAAAATAAAGTCAGAGAAAAATAAAAACCATTTTCCCAAATTTCTGGTTTTTCGGGATATCTCCGTATATATACTCGAAATTTCAGAACTTTCTCAACGGCATATTGTTAGTCAGATGAATGCGAAACTTTTCCCCAATTTAATCATCTTCGTATCTCTCATAATTTCCGAGATCCCGGTGGTGAGGATCGAATTTGAAACAACCTGTATTATAGTTTCAATTATGAGGGACATAATTGTGGCATTATTGAATACCGGGTCCCCATCCCAAGACATTTTGCTGATTTCAAATTATTTCCTTCACACGAGAAACTTAATATAATTGGAGTGTTGAAAACATGGCTATCAGATAATATCACTAGTATTTCAGTGGACATGCAAGTTTATAAATTCGTTAGAAAAGATAAAGGTTCAAAAGATGGAGGTGTAGGTTTGTAAATAAAAAAGCTTTGGAATTTGAAGTTATAAATTATGAATCGTATGAATTAACATAAACAAACTCGGAAAAAATTTAAATTCGACAAGAAAATATGAATATTAGGTCCTCTTTCAAACCACCAAAAGACAACATAAATGATATATTAAAAGCAATAAAAGATTTTTTGCAGTATATTTGTATGCAGTATAGATTGTATGGAACTGAATAATCTCAATATTATCACTATGTGTGGTAGGGTTGAAATCTTTCAATGTGAGGCAAGTGATTGAGTGTTCAAAATTAAACAAATATTATAAAACCTTCTTGATGTTATTTTTATGTCTAAGGACGAACCTATTGTTACATTTTCTAAAACTGAATGTTTGGGTAGGAATTTTAGGTGACCACATCATAGGACCTTTTTTTATCGATGATAATTTTACTAGTAATAAATATTTGGATATGTTGGAGAATCGAATAATACCATGCATCAATAGGGCAATTGAGGAGGATATAAATTTATTTTTGGATGATCATTTTCCTGGTCTCTGGATTGCCAGATGAGGGCCTACAGAATGGCCACCAAGGTCTACGGATCTCACTTCTGTAGAATTCTTTCTATGGGGTCATTTGAAGTCTAATATGTATGAGATAGAATCAACAACATAAGAAGATTTGAGACAGAATTGCAGAAGCATTGCAGAGAAATAACTCCCGAGATTCTCAACCATGTGAGGGTGGCAATGAAAGCTCGATTGTACCATTGTATGGAAGTTGGTGGAAACATTTTTGAACATTTACTATAGACATTTTTTTCTTCTATTGTCCAGTCATCATATTTTGATTCAAGAATTAATAAAAAATCTCTTTTTCTGATTTATTGCTCTGAGGGTGCGATTTGGTCGATACGACCAACCGAAAGACCGGTTTCGGGGTACTTGCCCCATCATCAGTACAGTAATTTATTTCTCAGTCAAGTACATCAAGAGTACAGAGTAATGAAATATTCGAAAAACCATCTTTTTTAGGTTCTTTCTGGGATAACTTTAATTACGTCTCGCGTAAGTGAGAAGTAATTAAACTTCTGAATTTCAGTTTGACATCATACTATTTTCTTCAGGCAGTTAAAAGGAACCGAGAGGTGAGTGGAAGGAAATGATATGAAAAAAAGTGTATAAGCAATTGTATGTTCTTTCAAGTTTGCGAATAAGATGGGTGGTATTTCGATATTAAATCTATACTTATAAATGCAAAAGTCACTTAACACTCATTCATCTCCGTTATTCCGTAGTGTTAAGTCCCAGAAAGCTAAAATTTGGTATATAGATGCTTCGTAGGTCTTAGATGCGCACTAAGAATGTTTTGTGACTCACTTGAAAGTTATTGTTCCACCCCCATTAAAATACAAATACATATCAGTTAGATGATTATTTCTTTAAGCAATATATTATTCGTTTTTCAGGTTTCGAACCATATCCTCTCATGTTGTACAATCCCCCCACGTACTACAATGAATTTTTGCATTGCAAATCGAAGAGATGCAGCACTGGTTCATTGGTGAGTATCTAAGTATGTTATTGAAATTCATAATATTGTATTGGAGAAAGCATATTACAAATTTTTTTTTTAACTCACCGCCGCATCTGTCTGTCTGTATCTAGGCGTTAAACTGCGGAAAGGATTTTCATGTATAATTTATGTATAATTCATAATTATTGTTTTGTGTGGATCATTTGGGGAATATGACGATGCTACCCATGCGAATCCAGGGTGGATCGCTAGTCAAAAATAAAATTTGTAATATTCAGAGTAATCAGAACCATGAAACGTTAATTTCAATTACTTCTAACCGAATAACTATTCGGTTCATAAAATATTTTGACATGGGAGCGTAATAACTTGAGTAGTGGTGAAAGGGTGTTTGTATTACAAAAAAGAATATTGCAATTAATTTTTGACCTACCTTATCAAACTTCATGTCGCGATGTATACAAAAACCAAAAAATTCTTACTGTTACTTCTATTTACTTATATAAATTACTGAGCTATATCTACCGAAACCGAAATAAACTGCCAAAAAATTCTGATATTCACAACCACAACACAAGGCATAAAAACGACTTGTTGCAAAAAAATCGAACCACACTTTCCACAAAAAGTCACCTCTGATGATTGGAGCGTCTTACTTCAATAGGCTTCCTTGTAATATAAAAAATAGTAACACATACGAAATTTTCAAAAGTGGGTTAAAGAAAATTTTAACGAATCATTGTTTTTATAGCTTGGGGGAATTTGATGACTTCCTTTCTAGCAGTGTTAACTGAGCTCATAGTTGATGTCTAGTATACTTGTTTTTAAGTGTCATTGAGTAATATTAGGGTTACATCCTCAACAATGTATTATGTTCATGTATGTATGTGTATATACTCTATTTTGCCAACCTAACCTGTAAACTAGTACTTTAGGAGTAACTTTTTTTGTAGTAAGTGTGTGGGTTCTACACCTCACCAGACTCGTCCAATCTATTGTATAATAGGAAAGCGGATTTAATAAAATTTGATTTGATTTGAGTGCATAACTTTCCTTAAATAATTTGTTGAGGAGTTTCGAAAACGAACTCAGATCGCCCGTAATTTAGTTTTCCTTTCATTTTTATCACATTCCCCTTCTTTTCTAATGGGTTTCATCCTACTCTTTTTTTTTATTTCAAAAATGATCGAACCTGGAATCATTGGAATTCAACCGCCAAATAAGAAATCGTTTTCTGTCTCCCTCCTCAATGTTACAAGACCAGATAAAAAATTTAACGTTTGGACCCATCTGCCCTGAATCGATAGAACATATAAACCCCATCAATTAAAGATAAACGAGGAACCCAGCGCTGTCTAATATTCTAGAGAGAGACAGAAAAGGATTTCTCATTCAGCGGTCAATGTTGAAGTTTGGTTTGCAAGCCGTTGGGTTGCGTTGGAATGTTTTCCAGTTACCGAACTGCAATAACTAAGAGTCCAAAAATTATCCATATCAGACGAAGAAATATGCATAATTATTATCTCAAATAAAATCAGTGATATTTGGATTACGGCACCAAAATTTCAAAGGCTTGCATTTTGACCTAATAAGTATTCTTCGGACTCTGGATGATATCTGTTTACAAAATATTTTGAAAACAAATAATTCGAAAAGTTTGTTTTTTGAATAGATAATGATGTTTATTTCATTTAATGTTATAGGTTGAAAACCAATGTTCAAAGCACACCAAACTTGATTTTATCCTATTCATGTTCACTCCATATAAAAAATTATCGGCACAGGCAGTGTCTATCTCACCGAATTTCCATTAGAATGTTGTTAATTTTTCATCAGTATCGTCATATATCACGTTACATTTTTGCGATTCCTTCCAAAAATTTCTTTCAGAAAATATTCACCAAAGGTATTGTCACGAAGTAAACCCAATTCTCGACAAAAAATCATTGAGAGTCCTATTCCTACTGGGAAAATATTTGTTCATCATAAATGAAACTTAATTTCGAGCCAGTTAACTTCGATCAAGTTCAGACATATTTGTGGGTCTCATAACAATCAATTAAATATCTACTGCCATTTTGAATACGATATGGCGGACGCCATAGAATAACGTTTTATTATTTCCATATCAACCCCTATGACATCGAAACATAATTTTATTGAAGCAAACTAAGCTTTTGTATAGTCGAAGTAAACGGTATTGTGTATACTTAAAGGTATCGGCGCTCTCAAAGGCCAGAAAAATGAAGCCGCTGACAACTAGTCCACGTATTCTGAAGAATTGGTGGTTCATATTGGATAATTTTTACCAACCAATTTTTATGATTGGCTGAAGAGTCATAAAAATGAATTTGAAGGTATGTTACGGTGACGAATAGAATGCGAGGATGGCTAGAGCAGTCATGTTGTCAATGTTAAGCTCAGGAACTGATCGCGATTTGAGTGTTGAAATTCGATATTGGTGCAGTTATAATTATTCAAAATTTTTGTGTTTGTTTGAAATGTGGCGTCCTTGGACAAGTACTGATAATAATAACGAGTGTGATAACAACGCAGACTTTTTCCTGTGTAATGATGGTGAACAATGCGAAAAAGAGATACCAGTGAATAAGATTTGAATGCATTTGAATATTGAAACATAGAGAGTATGTTTCAATGCATATAAGAATCTTCATCTCAAGTTTGGTTTCGAGGAAAGCAAACTATTACAAGCAACATCAGATTTTACCGAAATTCCTTTCTCGACTGTACGTAAAATAGTCAAAAACAAACCTTATGAACGCAAGACGCGATGTGATGCAGGATTACCTATGTCAGATTTTTTGAATAAATGTTCATCGGAAATAGAAACAAAATAGTAACATGAGACGATAGCACTGCATTTTAACCTCGTTATTATTTATCTCATACATACAAAAGTCATTCGAGCAAGTTTTCGAAATGTTCTCTTTAAACTTCCAGACTGTAAAACAGTCTATTTTCGAACTCATTTCCAACATTTTGGAGTGTTTCTGGGGTAATCCTAGCACAAGTTTGGGTAATTCAATCTCTAAGTTTCCATACTATCCCAGGTCTCGTAACATGTACTCTTGATTTGATATACCTCCAAAGGAAAAAATCGTGAGGGGTCAAATTCAGTTAACGAACAGGCCAATCAATCCCTTACAGGTCAAAACAATGTGGGGGAGCAACAAATGGATTTTTGAATTAAACTTTTGTTGTTGGTTGAGTCGGTGGATCGATAAGGTTTTGAAAAATTTTAAAATATACCAGTCAGATTTTCCTGTAGATATATGAGACTAACAATATGATTTTCCAATATTTCTGCCCAGACATTTATTTTCTCAACAATGTGACCTTGAATAATATGTGGCTTTATGTTTGACCAATATCGCACATTGTGGCGGTTGACACTGGAAGAAATATTTTGTATGCAGTTTCGTTAGACCAAATTCACAAAACTGCATTCTTCTATTTATAGGGCTCAAACTTATGTACTTATGTCTTCTCAGGTATTTCTGGACGGTGGTTGTTGAGATATCATTCTCACAAGCAACCGTTTTATTGGCCTACAGGAAGTAACTCACCACAGACGTAACGATTTCTATGTGTTTCCTATAGTGCTGGCTTCAGTTGATTGAAAATTTTCAACCAATCCCCTGTGTTATTTTCGGCAAGTCGGATNCTTCAGTTGATTGAAAATTTTCAACCAATCCCCTGTGTTATTTTCGGCAAGTCGGATCATTAGAAAATATTTCAGTCACATGAAAATTACGGTCGGCCTCAACTCAAATAAGGATCGCTTCTGTTTTTTCTCTAAAAATCTGGCACGAACCATTCCTGAAAATTTCAACGAAAGGAACGAAAGTTAAGTCGTCTAGTCGACCGTTATCTTTTCTGAAAATTCAGGGTGAGTTTCTCTGATTACTTTCATAAAGAGTCCCACGTATAGGTGGGGAACGGCTCTCTTTGACGAGTTAGTGCTCGATAAAAGGATCTCGAAGATTCTTTTATTGGTACTAAGCGGGATCAGAGGTATTCATACTTTCGGAACGGTTATACTCTATACCAAGGGTGCTCAACCCTTGCCCGCGGGCTACAATGTGGCCCACGAAATAATTTTGAATGGCCCGCGCAGAATTTCTTAGGTTGAAATTTATTTTTGTATCATTGCATTATTCACCAGGAAGCGTTGTGTGCAAAGGATATGGAGTTGGATGATATTATGAATCCAGTAGTACGTTCCATAAATTACATACGTGCAAAACCTCTTAACAGACGTCAATTCAGACTATCATTTGAAGAAGAAATCAGGGAATATGGACAGCATGTTGAAACATTTCTTCAAGTTGAGAAAACATGTTTAGAGCAGAAAGGGGCTTTACCATTGGAAATTGATTTACTGAAGAATACATCCTGGTTGAGTGACCTTGCATTTCTTGTTGACGTTACGAATTACCTCAATATTTTGAATCTCAAATAACAAGGTAAAGATTGTTCACTTCCGACTATGTTTAATTTAATAAGCGGATTAAAAGCAAAATTAAATCTCTTTTCAATTAATTTGGCTACAGAAAATATTGATCTTCTCCCCACACTGAAACATTTGAAAGAGGAGCTCAATATTGCTTCTGTTAATTATTCTGAATACCAATCTAAAATTCGATGCTTATCACAGTCGTTTGAGAAGAGATTTCAATAAAATTAAATCTCTTTTCAATTAATTTGGCTACAGAAAATATTGACCTTTTCCCCACACTGAAACATTTAAAAGATGAGCTCAATATTGCTTCTGTTAATTATTCTGAATACCAATCTAAAATTCGATGCTTATCACAGTCGTTTAAGAAGAAATTTCAAGACTTTGAAAGCAAAAAACAAACTATACATATTCTTATAAATCCTTTCATAATAAGTTTGGCGGAAAAAGTTGGTTATCCTGCCAATATTCAGTTGGAACTCGTTGAACTGCAAAATCATAATACGTTAAAAAACCTTTTTGCCAACAAATTGTCTTCGAAAGCACA